CCATCCATCCGTCCATTCAATCATCCATTCATTCATTTATCCATCTATCCATCCATGCAACCTTTTTATCCATTCATCTGTTCATCTATCCATTCATTCTTTCATTCTTTCATTCTTCCATTTATATTTTCCAGGAGGTCTTAGCTCAAACCCGCGAAAAGGAAGCAGAATCTATGACAGAAGTGACCTGGCGTGGTCACTCCCTTCCAGTCAAGAATGAAAAGGTCCGTGGTTTCATCTTACATGCTCAGCAAATTTCACGAGACCTTGATCGTGCTGAAGACGTCGATGGAAAGATGTCCATGTATGAAGATTTGTTGATGGAGTGTAAAGATGCTATGCAGGCTATCAAAGATGAGCTGAAGGGAGACGCAGTAAGTATTGTCAAATGACAAAAGAAAATCTATGTGCATTCATAACTCATCGTAAAGCTCCTTTGATCATATGATTATATGATCCATATGGAAAAGAGTGCTATAAAAAATCATAAATCAGAAAACTAAACGATTTTATTGAACCTTGAAACGACTGAACTGATCTAAGATTGCTAACCCACAGATCAAACCCTGAAACAACCTCTGGGCTGATCTAAGTCAGGGCACGGATAACTCACAGATCAAACCCTGAAACAACCTCTGGGCTGATCTAAGTCAGGGCACGGCTAACCCACAGATCGAACCCTGAAACAACCTCTGGGCTGATCTAAGTCAGAGCATGTGCTTTGCTAACTTACAGGTTGAATTGGTAGCATATTGGGTTTGCATAGGAAAAGTAAACTTTGTCAAGATGCTGTACAGGCATCACTAATATTTCTTGCCAAATCTGCAGTCTTCAGGCAAGACAAGATCCCAGAAAACTGAGTCACAAGTTGCTCAGCTCCATTCCCTGCAATCCTACATCAGTCACGTGAAGCTCAGCAAGACAATCAACAGGAATCTACTGATGATTCAAGCCATGAAGAAACAGTTGCCTGTTAATCTGCAGGACTCAAGTGAGGCAGTTGAACCTGACACTACCAAGAAACTCACAAAACCTGAGGACCTTGTCAGATTATATGATATTATATTACAGGTGTGGATAATTGTTTTACATTGGGCGGTTTGTAATTGTTGACTTTGAAGGGCGCTTTGCATAAATACAGTAGGATTCCATCCATTACTGCACTCAATGAATGATGGCAATGATGATTATGTAAATGATGAAGATGCATGAAGGTGGCAATTATGAGTAATGATGATGATGTGATAATGATGGTGATGATGATGCATGATGATGGTGATGATGATGCATGATGATGCATAATGATTATGCATGATGATGTTGATGATGATGATGATGATGATTATAGTAGAAACATTAACTCTTCTTACATGAGGCTTAACCCAACATTTCTCGTATAGAATTTAACAGACATGTCTGAACTACCTGGTGTTGATGATGATTTTGAGATGAGCAAAGAGATTGCTGCACAAATCCTAGAGTACAAAGCCTACAGGTAAATACAGTAGAAATATAAAAAAACATCACCTAGCAATACATTCATATTGACGTGATGCAAGCATTCTCTAGAGAGTCAAAAGACAAAAACATGGCGGCCATTGTGGTGTCGTATGACAACGGATACTAATTTGAAAACTTTTGTTAAATGGCACCAACGCTTCCCCGAGAGGCCGCGATAACGTAACGTGCAATCGAAGAATTCACTAGTGATTCAATCTAAACCATTAAAAAACCTTTCATAACTGATATTTTCTTATTTCCCTTTCAGATGTTTTTACATTGCCCATAGTTATTTCCAGGCGAAGAAATGGCGTGAGGCAGCAGTATTGTATGATCGAGTGACGAGTCACGCAATATCAGCCATTACTCACTTTAGTGAATGTAAAACATTTCAGTCACAGGTAATAACACCAGACACCTTAATTTCTTGCGTTGGTCGTAAGTGTTCTTTTTTTTTAATTTGTCATGTCTTTTATTCGCTTTTCAGCAACAAGTTTCAAAGTTACAAAACCTGGTTTCCCTCGCTCGTGGTGCCAAATGTTCTGCGCATGCGTCAAGTATATTAGGTGAGTATTGCTGTTTGTTTGACTTGGATGTAACACGCGCTCTGATTGGCTGACAGTCCCTCAAAGGTTGTCTTCCTTTAACTATTTATTTCGATTTTTAGTTGTGTATGGCGCGCTTATAGTTTTGTCCCTATTCATTATTGATGCTTGCCCGCCGTATCTCGCTATTTATCTTCATCCGGGATAACATGCCTCGGACACTAGAGAAAAACGTTTCCGCATGCGTGCACTTCAGCACGTTTTCTAAAAATTTCGAAGAGTTTGAGTGATAAAATAAATGTTTGTTTTCTCCAAGTATACAAAAAAGTTCGAGAATATACTTTTGTCAGACCAAGATACTGTATTAACAAACACAATATGAAAGAATTAGCCTTAAGTTTCAAGCATGGACACTAAGCTTGAGCATTTTGTGAAGTCCAATTTATCAGGCATGTTTGAAAGTCAAATTTACTTATGTTTTGAATAATTTGCATACGGATTCAGAGCATGCGCAGACATTTTTCACTCGTGTCCATGCCTCGTTTTCTTGATGGTTGTTACCAGTCTCCCGTTCGTCGATTTGCAAGCCGCGATAAATATTTCTTAAATAAAATGTTTTAAAAGGACTTAATTTTTCTCCCTTTTTTTCACAGAAAGCGAAACTTTCTCAGACCAGATGGCTACAGTGGCTCTGGAAGACAAGGTAATTACTAAAGCTTATCAAGTAATCTTTAAGTTTCTTGAGACGTGTCTAGTACTTTGTTTCTCGAGAGCGTCGCTGTAAAATCTTTGACGTTTTCTTTTATTTGGTTGACGTATTGGTAGAAGTTTTCTTGATAAGATTTCGCAACCCACACTTCAGAAAACACTAGCAATTTTGCTTATTATATCTCGTTTATCAAGGTAGAGACTTTAAAAGGAAAGAGTGGGGGCTCTGAGTCGTTTCAAATAAATAGCTTAAGAGATTTCCGGGTTTCTGTGGCTTCACAAAAGAATAATTTCTGATAGTCATAATGTGATAATCTATTTGCACACTAATGGAATTATGTCTGCTAATTTTTCCACTCTAAGCCTCTGTCTGAGCGACTAGACGTCTACCACAAGGACCAATCACTGGTCAGTAAAAAACCAAACGTCACCACTTTCCCGCCAGAATTCCAACCAATCCCGTGCAAACCTTTGTTCTTTGACTTGGCGCTTAACCAAGTGGAGTTCCCGTCGTTGGCCGAGCGCGTGGAGACAAAAAAAGCCGCAGGAATATCTAGTTATTTCAAAGGATGGCTTTGGGGTGGTGGTAGTTAACTGGGTATTAAATTATAGAATAATAGGATAAGGAATTCCCGTTCAATCCATAGATAACCTCCAGAAACTGTTAATACATATTAAAGAGATGAATTGACTTCCATATTGGATGATATTTTAGAGCATACGAAAAAGAAATCTCTTGTTTATATCATCCAACATGGCGACAGTGACGTCACAGAACGTCACGTTCAATCAAAATGGCGACTGTGACATAACTCCAGTTTGTTTAAAGACAAAGCTTGTTACCTTTGTTTCTAGTCAATAGTCTCAATGATTTCCTATTGGCTGGAAAGGCGTAGTTCTGTTGGACATGAATTGCTTTCTCCCTAAGACAATCAAAATGCGAGATTTGTCCATTTTGTCCAATCACAACGCTTATATACGCTTAAATAATACACCAACAGAATTTCAGCCAATCACTGTTCATGTAATCAGATAAATGCCCAATCAAGGTGCATTGACTCAGTCTTGTTATTTGAGCAGCAAACGAAGCATCAGAATATGAATCAAAAATTCACTGGAAAAAAGTTTTTCTTGAAGTGTGAATTCAATACTTATTCGGGAAATAGTCGGAATCTACTGGGAATATAAGCGGGCAAATGGTATAAATTTCTACGATCTTGAATGTCAATATAAAGCCACTTCTAAGATTAGTTTGTTTCCATTAGAGTGACCACAGGAAATCCGTGAAACTTTAGTAATACTAAGTAGCACAATTTCATGCAAATTCCATTGTTTTCTATTGTTTAACTAGCACTATTTTGTACTATTTAGTAATTAGTGTTTCACGGATTTACTGTGGTCACTCTAATTTGATAACTTAGTTTGGTCTACATTTTCATGACAAAATTACCTACCCGTCCCCGCACGGGGTGATATGTATTCACACATATCTTAAGTCAGATGTACCGTTGCCCTTCCCCACCCTACTAGGTAACACAAAAACTCGATCAAGATTTATACCAAGCAATATCGCAGTGGGGGGTGAATGGCTGATAGGAAATAGACTATAGCGGCTTTTCCGAGTAAGATCAAGCCTAGGTAACAAATCATTATAGTATCGATAAAATTAAGCCTTTATAGCCTATGTACGGAATATCAATGAACTGATGCTCAAAAACACTGTTGGCCTCAAAAATCGATGGCTATGATGGATACTAAGATGTACAATTTATCAAACTCTACTTGAAAACAATCTCTGAGCAGATCGCTTTAAGTAAGGGCACGGCTAACTCATAGAACGAACCCTGAAACAGCCTCTGGGCTCATCAAAGTCAGGGCACGGCTAATTCACCGTCGGATTGGAATTCTTAGTGTGTTCGTATTCGCCTTTTTACGGAGAGAGGAAAACTTGAAAAACAGCCGTAAGATTAAGGGAGATACGCGAAAACATCACACGTGCCTGCCGAATGTTAATCTGTTTACGCGCTATGACTTCTAAATGATTTAAAAACATCTGATTAATCAGAAAACTTCGTTTTCATGAGCAACGCAAAAATATTTATCTTTGTGTTTTTCCCTTTTCTTTCGACGCATAATAGATTTTTCATTTCCGCGATGAAGAAAAACAAGAATAAAAAAGGCAAATTCGGTAATTCCTCATTTTGAAGAACTATCCAACCAATCAAAACGCATATCTTTCGGACCAAACAGGATTTATTGATATTATCTATACAGCTTACTCAAGTGCCACTGAGAGGGCGACAGTACAAGTGAATTAAGTGAGTCTGACTATCAACTGATATGCTAATTCAGTCTCTTAAATATAAAACCATGCATGGCCAAATGATTTCTCCATTCTCGTGCGTAAATTAACTTGAAGAGAGGGCGCCTGGTCCTATTGTTCGGACCGCGAAACAACGTTCTTGGTCATTCTAACATCGTACAATCGGCGTTGGACACAAACGGAAATAACTGAGAAAAATAGAACAAAACTGGGTAGGCGAATAATTCGTCAGAGCTTTATAGCCAGTGATATTGTGAGACACGATGTTCCCAGCGCGACATCTCTAGGACTTTTTATCTTGGAGAGCGATTCAAGTGAAGAGTGAGATTTCATTATTGTTTGCATTGAAGTTTTTTCCTGAAAAATTAGATTTAGAATATCGTTCTAAGTTCAAGAGCAAGTCAGGACTACATTCAGAGTGAAACGGTCGATTCTGGCTTCAGGAGATATCCGGCTTGGAGAACACTGAACTATTCGCTCAAAAATACGTAACCTGTAACTTTATTTTGCATTGAACGATCGGATTTAACCATGGAAAAGATGGCTTTGGCTCTCGTTGTTTTAATGTGTGGTTTTGCCGCGGTTTTGGTTATTTTTGGTTGCTTCTTGACCTATTATGCTTGCTGGAATCATTTCCATAAAAAGCATAGAAAGCGTTACCAGCAACAACAAATGGGAAAAGACATTGAAGATCCTGCGGTGGGAGCCGAGAGTAACAAGCTGTTTCAAGACGAAGAGAAAAAGAAGAAGAGAAGCGTTTATGTTTATTTTACCGCGAGTGGATTGCGAGAAAAAGTAGAAAACGATGAGACTACAGAATTAAATGCTGCCATATGAACTCCATAGAAAATAAAAAGACAAATCTATTTGATATTCCATTTGTTTACATCGAGGAAACAGTATTTGTGTCGTTCGTCCAGTTTCTGAAAAGAGTTTCTGAAAAGAGAAAGCAAGAAAATGAACCGCCAACGGAAAATATCAAAACGAAAAAAAACCCATTACATGGCGTTTCCTTTTATTAACTCTCCSRAGAGAAGCTTGAAGGAAAGCCATTCACATCGTTGGAAAACATTAACATAAATGACCGAAAAAAAACCAGTTATCTAAACAGAATTTGATCTTTTTGCTAACCGTTCGTTTGTCGCCTGCCTTAAAAGCAATACCCTTGCCATGTTTATGATAATAATTAAATGAGGCAAAATTTAATTCTAATCGCAATTTCCCCAGTACCCCAGTTTATTAAAGCGACATGGCTTCTTAAATTGAGAATCGCTCGCAAGGTGATGTGTAGATAATAAAGATTTTTTAAATTTCTTTTCAAGCTAAACCATCTGTCCGATGTCAATCGTTCAATGCTGTTTTGAATTTCAAATCTTTATGCAAATAAATACCAATATTGTCCAGAATATTAGCCAAGCTTTTTTTATAACTAACAAACGTAAAGATTTTAAAGTATTGTCACTGTTTTCGTCCATTGGTGAGTTTCCCCCGCTGTTTGATGGAAACTGATTTTCAACTGGCGCCTTCAAGACTCCAAAGCACCTTGGCTAAGGGCTGAAATAACTTCGGTGTAAATGAAATTAAAAACCAATTTTAATTTTGGTAAACTTTATTTATTTAAAAATGAACAATTCCGCAGTTATGTCAGAGTGAGAAAAGAGGTTAAGTACAAAAATTTCGATTTTTTACCCTTTCCCACGCTGTTTCTAAGGGTTTTAGTTCCTGCGCGGCCGTCGACAATTCATTCATTTGTCAGAATCTTGTTTGACTGTTAACTTCCCATTTGATTTGCTTTTCGTCGGTAAACTGACTTATCTATAGCACTTTGCGGCAGTGTACTTCCCTATAGTGACAGCTAGGAATAAAAGCAATTTGGTTCGGTTGCTGTTGGTTTTTACTCAAAATTAATGGCCTTGCCCCAACCTTTTGAACGGCTTTCCTCGAAGAACCGGGTAAAAATCGTGAAAACACCGGCGTAAACCCCTCGGGGGGGGGGGATGTAGGGAATGTACTCCGCCAGAATTTGGGTAGGGGTGCTCCGCTGGGATTCTGAAAGGGGTGCCCTGTTTATGACAAAAAAACTCAAATTTGTAGACCCTGTTTATGATAAAAGATATAATTTATTGCACTGAGTTCCTGTTTCAATTATCATGTCATCTCGCGTATCGTTTTTTTACGACCATAATAACCAGTGTCGGTCAATACGAAAGTAGAAACCCTGAATATGACGGGAAACTCAGGAAGAACTTGGAACTTGAGTGAAATTGCATATCCTGTTTATGACAAGAAGGTCGGAAAAACCTTACTCTAGATCTTCTTGCCCTGTTCAGCGGACCATTCCCGTATAGTCCATATATGGGAGTACCCCCCCCCCCCTACCCGGGCGTAAACTTCTCGTACCGCGGACCACACATACTGAATCTGAAAACTTTTATCTTAAGTTTTATCATAGTTAATAGATATTAGCTATTAACTATAATTTAATAAATTTTTTGAGCAAATGAACAGGAGTATAACTAAGGTACATAGTAATATGACATAACGCAAAAACGTAACTCAAACATGGAGGTTTTACGTAACTAAATACTAGGCAGATTAAGATTCCCGTTTTTCCTTCCCGCAAACGGCAAACGTGACCACGTTTTCATCGTTTCCCTACATTTCACTTAACCTTTTGCAAACCTTCCCGACAAAGACACATTCTTATTTTTATCTACTACTTGGAGATTTTTGCAATTCCTTTTCGCTAATTTTAAAGAATTTTTAATGGTCAACTGACGTTTCACGTTTGCCGTGGCGAGAATCTTAAACTCTCTACTACTCATTAAAATGATTTTTTTTTTACGGCGAACTACAAATGACATAAAAATTAATTCATCACCTGAGTGACAAAAACTGACAGAAAAAAAAGAAAAAAAAAAAAAAAACGAAAAGTGCTCGTAAATTTTCCGTTTCATTGCCACAGAATATTAACACACAATTGGTGTCCTTTTTGCGCTTGCACGGCTTTATTTTCCTATCATTTCATTGTTAGAGAGTTCAATTTCCTGTAATATCGAAAGAGATTCCAGAAAGCGCCTAGAGATATGAGTTTGAAATAAAACACAAAAGACACTTCATACAATCATCCACTGCTATTATATTATAAACACCAAACTGAATTACAAGGAAATTACTGGAATATTTAATAATGTTTAGTTCACGATKTATTAGCAAAAATCTACATTCAATTGTCAATACATTTGAATTTTTTTTCATTTCCCTGTTCCCTTCAACGAAATCGAAGACTCGAAATGCATAATTCTCACTCTAATTCCCATAGCAAAACGTAAAAATCTTTTTTTGCTTGTCTGTTGTATAGAAAAAAAAATTTTTTTTTTTCAAAATTCGGTTGTCAAAAGCTTTTAGTTCGTTTTCGAAAATTGGCGCGCAATTGGACTTACGACTATTTTTCAGTTGTTATGACGATTTCATTTCCTTTTCTTCCTCGGACAAGTTAATGCTAAGTTTAAAGAATTAAATTTGACAACTTGGAGTTGCCTTCCATTACCACGTAAGTAAGGATATCACTTTATATAAAAGTAAAAGACCTCAGGCATTCCTTAATAGGTCACGCGAAACTCCTTCAATGACGCCGAAAACGGCTCCCGGTGGTTTTTAACTTTAAAAAGTTTTTTTAAGTCAAGGAATTAACGTCTTAATTCTGTGCGCATGCATTAAGCAGATTAAGGCAATTTCTTAGTCATTTTCAGATAGCATTAACTTGCCATTTTTTCGTTTTAGTAACGATCTTGACCTCCTTCAGACCCACTTCTGCCACCAACCCATCCACCCACCCATTCATCCATCCATTCAT